CCCAAATTTTCAGCTTCCTAGCTTTTGTGGTTCCCGAGTTGAAAGTTGTGGACAAGTTGCTGCGGATACACACACGCAGACACGAACACACACACACACAGACAACCCTGTGACAATATGCGTGTACTGCTGTTACACAGCACAAAACGCATAAAAACAATGTAAAAACACAGCTGCTGGGGATATGAGCTGGCATAAAAAACGGCACGAAACCAACTGAAATGCACTGCATGCTTCTTGGCACCAACACACAATACGAGGAAGATAGATCTGTGCCTGTGGCGTATTCAGCTTTCTAGGAATGGCGAGGGGAACTTCATTCTAAACTCAATTTTCAACTTTTCCTGCCTATGCTTAAATTAAATGGAGATTTTTGGAGTCTGATCATAGAATTCAGCATTTTTGGGCCAATTCATTCACCTTTCTCGAACAAATTAATCCTTTCCAGTTAAATTTGGTCTCTTTTTGGCTGAATTTTATGCCGAATCGGACGAATTTTGTTCCCGTTTTGGTAGAATTTTGCTCCCTTTAGATAATATGTTTATCAATAAGTTAACTGCTAAACTCTTCCAGCCTAATCCAGCGCTATTCTGGATGAATTCTGCCTCAATTCATTCAATTCTTCAAAACCCCCCTCCTTCTTTACAAACTGTTATGAGGATCTTTTATCGTTTCTGTTCAAATACGCCACAGGTTTAGACCTTAAAAAGTCTTCAAAGGACAAAAAAAACCATATTTACCGATTCTGGTGAATGACTGAGTTGCATACGTCCGTCCGATTGAAAATGCATTTGTATGCCCATTTGCTTCAACTGCTGTATATGCTCACGATTTGTTACACTGAATGTCCAGGCATTCAAACGAGTTGGACTGAAAATCCAAGGAACTGAATCAGAGGTATATAACAGTTGCAGGCGATCCGAACAGTTTTCCATTTTCACTTTTTTCTACAATTATCCTCCAAAAAAAATCGAAACTCCTAACAGTAAGTAAGCTATCTCTCGTAGTGTTTAACACTGGTAACGCCGGAGATGAGACGATGTTGCTCAACGCATATTAAGGACCTCCAGAGCTGGCTAAAGCCTTAAGTTACATACTTCTGCAGGGAAACCTGTTGGTTTGGTAATTCCTTCAAGAGACGAAACGAGTAATACAAACTCCAGTAAGCTAACCATCAGGAGGACATGCAGCACAAAGGTAACCCGGAAGAACTGCGAGCTGCAGAAGCCGGAGAAAAGGACCATTGATTAGAGCTGATCCATATATTCCAATTTTATATAATTTCGTAAATTCAATATTTCTCATTCCTCTTCTAATTTCACTAATCCTTATCCTCATTCTAGTCAATTAAAATCTAATAATATCTCTGAAATTTATCATACACCAAATTTAAATAATTTCTTAAGTGCAGTATTTCCCATCCCTCTTTTCTTCTAATTTTATCAGTTCTTACCTTCGGTTCTAAACAATTAAAATCTAATGATACCTCCGAAATTTATTATAATTCTTACATTTTGGGACAGCTTCCGGAACTGTGCGTACTCTTCGTTAGCTCATCAACAACACTTTGGACGCCGTCACGCAAATCCTTTGCGTAAGCTCGCAAATTATCGAATTTCTCGCTTACTACAGGACATGCAGACCGGAATTTCTTGTTTGTTATTGCTTCTTCATCATCGATCACCTCATCGGGATCGATTATCAGGCGTCGAGGGAGCTAAAACTTCTTGATGAGACAGGAGAAAAAAGGATCAATTGAAGGTGCCTGTCGTAAAAGGGGACGAAAAGAAGGTACAAACTTTGCCATCGCTATCGGCATCAGCAATTGAAAGAGGTATGAAATGAGCTTCGGTTGTAAGCACATAATTATGTGGGTCAATGTACAGATCTGAAGGCTCCGTGAATATCATGTATAGGTATTTGAGTGTTTCCGAAAGCACAAACGAATCCATCCTGCAAAAATTTTTACAATTATCGGAAAATCCTGCCAAAAATTAATGGTTTCAATCAGTTTTTTTTTTTTTTTTTAAAAAAGACTCACTCTTCATGAAAAACTAAGGGAAAAGAACTGCAGCAGGTACCTATCTTCGTGACTCATCGAACGAATATCCTTGGCAGCAGCAAAGCCACACTCTACACGCAGAAACTGATTCATGCTATCCATAAGCTGAAAGTAATTTTTAAATTTTTATATTTAAGATTAAACTTAACTCGGAGCAATTTATGAGTTCTATTCAATGGTCACTTGGTGGCAATGTCGAATGTTTTCACGTGGAAACTGATGCAAATTTATAGTAAAAAGCAAAAAATGCGCGACGATTTCGGGGATTACAATATTGGAATCAGAAATTTCGATAATGAAAAAAACCATGGAGAAAGGCACAAAAAAAAAAAAAAAACAGCAAAAGCTTCTA